AATTCTGTAATACATCATTGTGTGTTCACCACCCAGAGTCAGTTCTTCCATCACCAGATATTAATTTTGACCCCATTTACCCATTGCATCTAGTTTTTTCCCTCTGAATAAATATTTCCTTTTTTGTTGTAAGACTATATAATACATAATGTTTTGCAACTGCTTTTTCATGTCATAAAATAGTTACCTTGTGCAGTAACTTATTGTGAGTTGATAGATATTCCACCTCTCACTAAGAAACTTTGAATTAGAATTTTATCATGTTAAAGTTATTTTCAGACTTGGGGACATTTGTGGCATTGTCTGCAGTATGACACAGTTATGTTTCATTTCCTTATAGTGTTTTTGGGTGTGACCAATCTTCGAGCAGACCAGATTCAAATGACCAGCTTGTGTGCTCAGTGGCAGATACACCATCACGCCACTGCCTACCGGATAGTTATAGAATCCGTCCAGGGTAAGTGCAACTCATCACATCAGTTTTTGTCAAGTCCTCATGTACTTCGTTTTGTGCAAATCACTGTGGACAACATACACGTAACATTAGACAAGAGCCCTCTCGTTAAAGAGGTAATACCATCATACGGGTCATGCAGAATATGGAGTCAAATGGTTGGCTAAGCCAATTTATAACCTCTCCAACCTCCACTTTCTCATTTGTTAATGGGTAGAACCATAGTGCTGATCTTGTTAAGCTGAAATAAATCTGTGTAAAGCACTTGCAACAGTGCTTTGCACATATTAAGTGCCTGAGAAATGTTAGCTGCTGTTGGTATTATATTAAGAACCAAATAACCAGGGCTAACATACATTAAAATTAGATGGTACTATTTTGCTCCGTGGGGATCCAGGTTTGACTTTAATATTTTTCTTAGTGATTCTTTTTACTTTTGGGGATAATTGGTGAAGAGCAAGCACTCAATCAGGAGAAGGTATAACATAGCTATGTCACCCAGGACAGGCGCTTCACTTCAGCATTACAGTTCTCAAGCACATCTACTATTTGGGACTTTGTTTCAAGGTTGAAACCCTAAAAACATCTGTTTATTTTTATTAAAATATCAAGAACAACAACAAAAGGATGATTCCCCAAAAGTGAGTTTCTAGGGACTTTAAATCCTCTTTTCACATTGTCAGCATGGATAATGTTCAGAAGATGACATCAAATAATGAAAAGTACTTTAATCAGATTTTTATTATCAGTCAAAAATATATGCCTTGTTATGTTTGGGGGAACTAGAGGAGACACTAGAGAATCTGAAATGATACTTTTTAATCTTTCAAACTTGTTAATAAAATTGTTTATAAATTTTATTTTTGGACCAACGATCATGGTTTCCTCATT